ATAGATAGATAGATAGATAGATAGATAGATAGATAGATAGATAGATATAAATACAGTTTATATAGATATATAGATATATATAGATATATATAGAGATACTATAGATATATCTATAGATATTGGTAGATAGAGAGAATTACTCACAGTAAGGAACAGTAAAGAGTCCAGCTTGCAACTCAGTTCTGAGGAGGTTCTTTTGTTTTTGTGTGTAGACACCTCAGATATGCATTTTTTTCATATATAACAAAAGCCATTCCATCATCACAATGTTCCTGTAGCTTTAATTTGACGTATTCAGTCTCATTCCATACACAAACTCAGTCTAATTGTCTTTTATTTTTAATCTATTTCACCTGAGAGAATAGAATTTACACCGGTATTTTACATATATTTAATTTTTTTAGGAACACCGTTACCTGCTAAACCCACACAAAGCATTTATTGTCCTCATTGGTTTGGCCGGCGTTTACAAGCTGGATATTACAAACGAGGTAATTACAGCCGGCGTGGGCCAAGCTGCTTAGGTATAAGCCGTTCTGTGCTGTCTCTCAGTGCCATCAGGAAACTCATCACAGAGAGGAGGAGAGAAGGCCCTTAAAGGAACAACTACGCTATTCAGAGATTCGTTTATTTGTCTGGACACAAGGACAACCAACTGACACACAGCCCCAGCTGTCCAGTCCCCGAATACCAACGATTGGTCTGGAGAAAAATAGGGACTAACCTCAGAAATCAAAAGCACACATTAAAATCAATCGATCAATCAATCTCGACTCAACTCAACTCAACTTTATTTATAAAGCGCTTTCAGTCAGCCAAAGCTAAAATCAAAACGCTGAACAGGCCATTTGAGCAAATCATAAAACACAATTATCACCTCCAAACAAGACAAACTCAAAGATTAAAATGAAATAAGAGAGGGATAAAAGTAGAGTAAGAGAGGGAAATTATGACAACTAAAATAAAGTCGAAGTCTTTATTGATCGATCAATCAATCAATCAATAAACCAATCAATCAATCAATCAATCAATCAATCAATCAATCAATCAATCAATTAATTTACTTATGTAGCACTTTACAACAACCGGAGCTTATCAAAGTGCTTTACAGTAATAAAAACAGATCAAACTATCAAAATATACAAAGACAAATACATTGGTGACAGAACCCAGTTTACAGTGATTTTACGTGAAAAACGCCATTCTGAACAAATGCGTTTCATAAATAATAATAATACTATAAATAATAAATTAATTAATAATAATTTTATAAAATATTTGCAAAGAAATGTACAACTGGAAGCTGTCAGATTGAACTCCTGACAGAAATCTGATGAGAAAATGATGTGTATCCAGTGATTCAGAGATAAATAATGATGTTCCTGATGCAAAAGTGTCTAAACGTTTTATTTATATGCACATTGTGGATACACCCACATTTGTGGATTAGATAAATCTAATATATTTGACCTTTTACCACTCCTGTGTGCAATAGTTTCCACTCAGGCCAAAGCTGAATAACTGTGTGGTTTCAGGTCTTTAGTGCTGGAGCCGGACGGAAAAGGTAATAATGAGCAATGGTCTCATGGAAAAACCGAGACAGAGCACAGCTTGTGCTGCCTTTTTATTATTTCATTTTTTTTGGAAGTGTCTGGCTGCCACACAGCCTCTTTGTTCTCTGTTTATTAAGTGGCCAAACATCATAAATACCCACGTGACAAAACTCCCAAAAGAGCCGAAATGTCACCGGAATATTAGCGTGGAAACGGGGTGTCTGAAAACCAGATAAAAACACTAGATTTGAGGTAAAATGTACAAAAAAAAAGTGAAATTATCTGTCCATGCAGCAAGATAATTTCACTTGACAAGATTTCTTGAATTAAAAAAATTAAATCTAGAAATAAGCATGTCTACAGAGGTATTTGGAAGGCTTAACATGAGCTGAAAATGCTGGTTTTAAGATCAGATTACTTATAATTGTACTTTATACAGCCCCAAATGAAGTGAAATATACTAAATATAAGCATAAAATGCTGTTTTTAAGACTAAATTACTGAAATGTAAACTTTTTACAGCCACAAAATAAGTGAAATATACTAAATATAAGCATTTACATATTTTGTTTACTTGGTGCTAGCGTAGCGGCGTCTGATTTCGAGATGTTTTACAGTTTTAAACACACACACTCAGCAGTAATCTCCTTTTTACAGGAGAAGGGGGGGATGTGACACGTTTGTGGACAGGATCTGTCAGCAAATATCTGAGGATCCTCCTCATAACCACAACCAGGAGTTGCTTAACGGGGAAGTTGAGGAGCTCACTTCCCTCCAGTTCAGAAACTTTCCCACGATAAAAAAAACACCTCATCATGAACTGTTTCTCCACATAAAGGACCGAGGGTAGTCCAGATACTGACCACTTTCCGTCAAAGCAAAGCTCTGGAGCCTTGTGTTGATTCTGTTCAATTCCATTCAAAAGCCTAAGTCTTACTACTTGTATTCGGCCAAATTGATGGAGATATTTCATTAAAAATCTGTTTGATACACGACAACTTTACTTAAAGGCTCACACTGAGGCCCATCATTGGAGATGACCATTTCCCTTTCAGAGCTTTAACAATTCAAAGGGCAAAGAACCAAACTTTTAGGGTTGTTCAGTGCCAGCTCAAGGAAATAGGAACCTCTAAAAAGAGATTAACTGACAAAATTTCAGTCTGTTTCACCGTTAACACGAAT